ATATCCTGAGCACTTGGGAGGGACAGACATGGAAGACATTTGAAATACAGTTGCTTAAAATTGTTTTTCGAATTAAGTATTGTTTTCGTGACTACCAGTAAATCAGTAATATGAAATTTATTCAGCCAATTTCGATTAAGGTGATGAAGGACTGGTAGCAGAATAATTTTCCCACAATGATATGAGTTGAGCTGACGTTTCCATTGAATTTCACATAGTCTTGCTTTCCCACAAGTTGTTCTCATTCAGGCATTAATGGACTGCAGTTTCAACCTCGCATCGGTCTTATCAACACCCTCAGCGGGAGTCGAACCGCGACAGTGGGGCATTTAATCTTGGAGACAATACGAGGTTTTGGTATATCCTGAGCACTTGGGAGGGGCAGACATGGAAGACATTTGAAATACAGTTGTCTAAAGTTGTTTTGTATCAGCCGGTAATACTAAAAATTCCTTCACTTTGTCTAAAGTGGGTGCGTAAAAAGTGCATACAACTCGAGCTATAGGATTCATTTAGATGGAAAAACCGAAAAATTGTAAATATGGCTAGAAAGGTTAATTCTTAATTGCAAAGTCTTGAAATAATCTACTTTATCAACAATTTCGAGACCACAACTAAATCAGTTATATGATGTTTATTCACCCTATTTCGTTTGAGCTGATGAAGGACTAGTAGCAGAATTTTCCTACAATGATGTGAGTAGATCTGATCTTTTAATTGAATTTCACAGAGCCTTGCTTTCCCAAGACTTGTCTTTTATCCGCCCTGCCCAGAACAGTGTAGCATGTGAACATGAAACGTTAGCAACTCGAATACACGAGTGCCACGAGTTCCTTTGGTTCACAGAGAAGATGTGAATTTCAAAGAAGACTATGCCTTTTCTCATATCACAGTCTATAGTGGGATTATCGATTAAGCAAACGTATTTTTGCTATAACAATCAACTACATTATTTATTTTTTATTATTTATCAGTTTTTTTGCCTGATATGGGAAAAGAGCCTGGCCATCCTTGACATTCACATCTGCCCTGTGACCCAAGTAAATTCGTGACAGTTTGGCGGAGTGTTTAACGCACCGAGATTAAATGCCGCACTGTCATGGTTCGACTCCGGCTGGGGGTGTTGATACTACCAAAGCGAGATTGAAACGGCACTCCACTTCTGGCAAAACAAGGCACTGTGAAATTGAATGGAAATGCCAGCTTTACTCACATGATTGTGAGAAAATTCTTCTAGCATTCCTTCATTCCCTTAAATGAAATAGGGTGGATATATCTCATATAATTTGACACTGTGCTTACATAATGAATAATGAACGCGAATGTACATGTGGGAAACTGAAAATCCCATGGGTTTATATACGACACATTTCCTGATTAATTAGCTCTAGTTCATAAGACGACTGTCTACCACCATGTAAGCTGCATTTCAAGGCTCTTTTAGTAAGGAATAATTGTTATCATCTGCTTTATTCACTCGTTCCCTTTGCTTCACATACTCGTTTGTTGTTATTGTTCATATATGCGCGTGTGATTGCATACATTTGTGTGTGTGTATTCATTTTCCTGCTTTGTAGGTAACGTCTTTGGCAATTTTACTCTTTACTTTTTTCTCTGAAACAGCTCCAAGCAAGTCCTTCGTATTGTCAAGACCACTTTTAGCCCCGCCGCTGATCGGTCCCGGTGCCTTCCACGCCGGCGCGAGTACACATTCAGACCCAGCTGTCTGCTTGGCAGTCCCGTAATGACGGGTCGTACTGAATGTGACCTGAAGACGGGACAATACTTCCGGCTGTTTTCTGAACAGCACTTGTCAGAATGCAAGTGTGTCACCAGAAAGTGGCGTAAACCGGCTCGCTGTCTTTGTCCCAAGGAGACGGTGACTAAAAAGTGAGTTGCAAATACAAATGAAGTTGCGATGAAATTGCAATAAAATAGAGATGAAGCAAGTATACTCAGTATAATCGGCTACATGCAAAGAGGTTATGATGTTGGCCAAGTGACACAATAATTTTAAAGTCATGCCTGGTACGTCAAGGTTGGAAAATCATGTCAGTACTGTACCAAACTAGACTTAGGTAATGGATAAGAAGAAAAGTTGGGTTTCGAGGACTCTCTTGTTTCATAATTGTTGACCTTAATTCCATTTCGAGGAAAAGCGTTGGGTGAAGAGATTCGAAGGTCAGTTCCACCAGAAGACGACGGCGGATTCTTCTTGACCAGCTGTCGATTGGATTTTATGGAAGATTCATGCTGACGCTGTTTTGAGGCAATGTCATTCGATTCCGGTGCAAAGGTGCTAGGCTTTCGTCCGTCATATGACGAGTTTTCTTGACTCGTGAGCTTAAATTTTGTTGTGACGATGTTACCTCGCTCTGATGATGTCCGTCATATGACGGACGAAAGCTTAG